CTGCAGGCCTGGACAAGATTGAATTCCTGCAGAGCCATGAGAATCAAGAGATTTATCAGAAGGCCTTTGACCTGATTGAGCACTACTTTGGAACAGAGGATGAAGACAGCAGCATTGCCCCACAAGTGGATCTCAACCAGCAACAGTACATCTTCCAGCAGTGTGAGGCTCCCATGGAAGGCTTTCAGCTTTGAGATGCCCCTGTGCTGTGTGCTCCTCTACCTAGCCAATCCTGTTGTCGAGCCACAAGCCACCTGTGGAGTGATTCTCTCAATGTTTTCCATAACCCTGTTTGCGCTCATTCGCTTGCCTTGTGCACGTGCTCTTACATACGTCTGGAAAACTTTTGGCTCTCCATGGCAGGATGCCCCCTCCTTGGCAAGAGGTCACCAGAATCACCCTTTTCCTCTAGATTCTGAATCTCTACACTGTCATCTTCGTGGAGTTGAGGCACCTTTCTATACTTTGAGATATTCCCTGTTCCTATTACAGGAAAATAATCCCTCCTCCACTAGCCCCCACACTCCTGGCATCTAAGAGAAGGTCACCTTTCTCTTGTATTTGCTGTAGTGTGTGCCTGCAGTCCAGGGGGACATTCAGCCTTTCTGAGAACGTAGCTGAATTCATCCCCCACATTCTCCCCTGGATGCCTCTTTGGATGGCTGCGAGAGATGCGTTAAACCTTCACATGCAATGTATCTACTTTGCTGTATGTGCCAGCTAGGGTTATTGGCATGAGGAACATGTTACAAACAATGGAGTAAGTTCTCTATCCCCTGGAACAACAGGCTGCAATGGACATGTTTTGTGGTTCTTAAGAATACTGAACACATCTGGCCCCATCCCATCTCAACACTGAACTCCCAAGTTGGATTGCAGACCACTGTGGAGATTTGTATGCCTTCCCAGTTTTTCCTCTCCATCCACAAAAAAAAGAACCTGTGAATAGGTCACTCTTAACACTTCCCCAGAAATAACTTTCCAGAACGGCTTCTAGAATGGAGAAACTGCCCCCACTTCTGCTTGCCAGCAGTATGATCCAGCCGGGCCTCTTCCTTAAAAATCAAGCCTTTCCTGACTTCATGCTCAAGAGTCTGGTCCTTGGTATTAGTTATGGCTGAAAAATTCCTGTCTGCCTCTTTACGTTTTTACACAGTGTGACTTGAACAGATTTGTCTTCTGAAAAATTACCTTCTGAATACAGAAATCTTAATTTGTAAAACTTAGCATAAGGAGTGTTAAATCTCCTTTTCATTTTCACAAGACAAGAGCTTCCTTTCCAGCTCACCTGATGGAGTAAGAGTCCTTATGGTCAAGCCCCTTATTTAACAACTCAAATGACACTACATTCAAAGGATAGTACTCTTACAGCTGGATCCACCTGGCCCTCTCATTTCATTTTTCTGTTTTGCTCTCCATGAGACTTCAGGTGAATTAGCATGGAACGCATGGTTCCTACAGGTGACATCTGTAAGGCATTGCTGACTGCATGGCAGCTGCCACCCGCAGCTGTCGACTGCCCTTCTGCTAGCAGCATGTTCTTGGCTCCGCAATCTGCTTGGATCACAGACATCTGATGCAAAGGCCCAGCCACTCCTCACTGAGTTCAGCTGACACTGACACCAAATTCTTCACACAACTGGGGAGATGCCACATGATTGAAGGTGGTGGTTCCATTTCTGTAAATGCAATGGATTCCCTAGGCCACCTGCTCCCCCCTGCATCGGGCTATGTTCTTTTCAAGCCATTTGGGACGCTTGGAACACAACATTTGTCCAGTGTAAACATTTCAAAATCGCCACTGGCAGCTGCAGCGTCATGTACCTGTAGTAAATGTTAGTGGCAGAACTGTCTGCAAGATCCTCATGACTCCTCTTGGTGATAAGCCACTGCAAAAGCAAAACCAGCCCATTGGATACAGAGTTACAGAGATACACACATCATTTGTCACACTGCTGAAAGAAGCTAGGTGAAGGCCTGAACATCAGCTCTGGGTGACCATTATTTAAATACAGTCTTCAGTTCTGTCTCTGCTTCAGGATGGAGACTTTGACCTGTGTGGCCACTGCAGCAGCCACCTGCTGCCTCCCTAGCTAAGCCAGTTGGCCTCCACTTTCCCTCTCCCAGTTATTTTCTCTAGTGCTGCTTTGTGCTGAAGGAACATTTAGTTTACTGCACTTGATCTGTAAATGGACTTCGATTCTTTGTAATTTTAGGGGGTTAAATTTGGTGGTTAATTTAAAAAAAGCAAAAAAACCCCTCAATGTTGCCTTTACATCACATATAAATAACTGTGTTTCTCTTTTCTTGAAGGGTGATAGAAGCACTGATTAGTAGCAAAATCTTGTTTTAGCTTTTGGATTTTTTTGTGCTGGATTTTTTTACGTGTAAATTTCCAATAACATGTCATTTCTATAAGATTTGTTTAAAACCATGTACCTCTTATTGGATGGTATAAAAATGCTACATATTTTGTAAACAAATCTGAGCAAAGTGTGTGTGCATATATTCTGTATATTCATATATGTATATTCTGTGTATATATACACTGCAGTGTATATATACATATGTACACACACACGTATATATATACACACATGCGTAATGTGTGCATATATATGCATATCTATATATCTATATATATATAAGTGTTTTCCAGGCTAGTGAAAACAATGTGGTGCATTGGCGTTTCCCTCCCCTGCCCCCCAAGAAAGTAATGACAATTGCCTCTAAATGAGTGAATTAAAAAAAGAGTCCATTTAAGCTGAATGGTGTGCCTTCCTGTGTAAGGAGCCTGGCCAGTGTTTGTTACTTTTGCTGTGGATATGTGAATTCAGAGCAGATAAGTATAAATCTTTGAGCTTGGTATGTTTGTTTGAAGTGACGGGCCTGGTTCACACAGGTGATATTGTTGTCATATATACTTAGACTGTGTAAGGCATTTGACTGGTACTGCATAATATTTTGACTGAAAACCACAACAATACAAAAATAACATGGCACACATTAAATGGATTAAAATGTGGCTAACTCATAGGTCTCAATGTAATTTTAAATGGTGCTCAATTGAGTATTTCCATCAGGATCTTCCAGCAACCAGTTCTTGGCCTTGCTTTATTTATCCTTATTAATAGATTGAAAAGAAACAATACCAACTTTAACAAAGGCTGCAAATTACATGGGTATGGAAGGGAGATGAGACTTGTGAATTATGAAAGGAACAGCTTACTGATTACACACTGATTAGAATTACTTGGGAAGCCAAGGGCAAGTAAACTGTTTGCATTTTAATAGCACCAAACATGTAGTGGAACGTTACCCATCTAATAAACAACACTCAGCCACAGGGGAAGGACTCTGTTTTGGGGGAAAAGTGCCCCTGAAAGTATGAGGATCATTATATGTTACTGCTTGAACACTGATCCTAACAGTTCTATGAGGATATGTCCCCTGCTAGAAACACTGAAACATGTTCTCTGCTCTCCTGAAAGATGTGCTCAGACCGGGACCACCTCAGAGAATGCCTCTAGCTGTCATTTTTGTGAAAGTCACACTGTTTTGAACAATCTGTTGTTGTCTTGTGTCTAAATAGGAGACAGCATGTGCTTGTGCAGAGGACAGGGGAAGGAGCTGCTGGAGTTCTTGGGTTCCACTCTTAGCTCTGCCAGGCAGCATGTAGTGCCAGAAAGGTGATCTCATATTTTCTTCAAAATTGTTTCTGTCTGCTCGTGGAGATCCAATCTAATCTGCTCTGCTTGATTGACAGTGTATTTGTGATAATTGCTGTACAGAGAATGTGGTGACAGGTCATGGTTACAGCGTGCAGGTGATAACTTCTCTGACTGCACAGCTTGTCTGATTGGCTGCATCTCATTGTGGTACCCAGAAAAGCAACTCATAGACAGATGGACTGCAGCAGCTATTTTACAGCTCTGAAGGACAAAGTACTAGAGAGAACTGCAATAGAAACCTTCCCTGCTTTTGTTTTCCAGGTATAAACGAAGATTTACCTGCATTTTTGTAGGGCTTTTCATTCACTCATCGGTAGTGTTAATTTTTAGTAGTACAACAAAAATAATATGGAAAAGGTGTCAAGAAGAATAATCTCCTGCTATGAGAAAGTTCACAAACTAAATCTATCAAACTGCAAGTCTCTTTTGTTTTTGGAGTCCCCAGGGCCAGTTAGCAGGCAGTGCCCCTGGGAAGTAACATAGTCTTGACCATTCCTGACATGTTGAATCTGCATTTCCCTCCAAATGAATGGAAAGGAGGAAAAATATTGTCTCCAGTTGCTGCAGGCTGTTCAGCGTGAACAGGGTGTGACTCTCTGGGATGACTGTCACAGAACATAATCTCTCACTTAAACAGATGCAGCCAGAATAACTGCTAAGCAGGCTTTCTAGTAAGTTCTGATCATTTTGATGATGTTAATGCAAGTCAATAATTGTTCTGTCTTGCACAAAGAGGAACATACGGAATAGCTGAAGCAGCCAGTACCAATGTGGAATAAATATAGCCCTATTCTTCCTGAAGGGACTTGAAGTGATAGTAGGTGACAGCCCAGTAAAGGCATTGTGTTCGTACCAGTGGAAACCCAATGGACTGTGGTGTTATAGGTACCTCCCTGTAAGTGGTAAGTAAGAGCATAAGACTTGGTAAAGGAGATTGGTACCAAGAATGCAGGTACATCTCCTGCAGTACTTTGAAAGATGCTTAATCAAGTGCATAGCACACATGGGAAACGGTTATGCTCTCTATCCAGTTTGCTCAAATGTCCTGTCCCAATAGCCATGAAGAAGAGAGTTTAGAGAAAAGGGGCACTTGTTAGGAAAAGAAAATAGGTGTTTCTGGTTTTAATGAGTACAGGATAATGCATTCATTCTTTCACAAATGTGAGAGTACAGAACTAACGTACAGGAAAAATGTGACTATATCTTCCTTCCAGTGCTTTAAAGGACCTGGCTTGTCTTCCCCAGCCCTTGGTCTTTTCATTTCTTCCTCTAAGGTTTACCAGATGTACCTTCCTCTCTCCACTGGGCTTTCTTCTCCAAGTTTATGCTTGTAAGAGATTCATGCCTTTTTACAGCCTACAATGTAATGACAAAGCAAGATCAACAAGTATCACCTGAAGGACCACAGAGTTGAAACGTGAATCAGTAGCTTAAAAAATGCCTGCTCTGTCCTTACCAAGGCACAGTTCTGTCAGCTTTAATGCCAGGAAGCAACAGTATTTAAAGTTAAGTATCTAGAGACTATTCTAGCTTAATGTAATTACTTCTCTGGGAATAAATTAAACCTTTTTGTTAAGGCACTAGAATATATATTCTATGCTTCTGGTCAGTATTTAATATTAATTTCTGATCTTCACAAGTCAGAGGTACTAGAAACAAATCAAAAGTCATACATAATAGATTCCAGCTGCTTTGAAAACAAGGGTCCCGAAGCAGCTGTCGTCCTCTCTTCCTCATGTTTGTATTCATACTACAGAGGAAAATATTCTGGGAATTGTCAGTGTTTGATCTCTTCTGCTGAAGCCAGGGAAAAACTTTTCCATTGTTTCAGTCCAGAGTGCTGCAGCCTAGTCATTTTAATAGACAAATCCTGACCAAAATGTCACTTGACATAGTTCATAGTGCTGTGGTTGAGACTCTTGTCACTAGTTTTAAGGTTTCTCTAGCACACTTAGTAGTCCACTGAAAGAAGATCTGAACATTTGCCTCAGAAAGGCAGCATACAAATGGTTCTTCTGCCCATGCAGATGCTTTAAGCTCGGGGTTTTTTTCCTCTTCTAAAGGAAACACATGCAGTCTTAACAGTGGTATCACCCTTGTCTCACTTGGGAGACAGTCAATGAGGGTCACACTTCTGGGGGGACTAGGAGAACTTTCAAAATTTTTGTTCAGTGATAAAATGAAAAAAACCCCAACCACAACAAGAAAACCAAAACCCCAAAGCAAGATGGTACTAAAAATCCACAGAGGAACTGAGAAGTTTATGTGAAGATTGATTTGCACTCATCAGCCAAAAATCTGTGCTTACCTGCTTCCCTCTAATCACCATGACTATGCATCCCAGGATTGTCAAGGCAATCATTACATAGCTGAACTTCACACGCAGTGTGGTCTTTGCTGCTCTGATTGTTTCAATCCTCAAATAATAAAAGAACAAACTCATTATCAGAGACCCAAATAAACCACTTGGCTAATTGTTTAATTTCTCCTAGCATGCTGTCTAGGTAACTTTGTATAATGTTAAGAGTGCCTGGCTCTCTTCACTAAAAGTTTTACAAGAGTGGGAAAGGCTGATCCCCTGCTACCTTGGGGGATACTTAGTCACAGAGGTGTTCCTCTCAAAGCTGAAAACAAACCCAACATTTTAAACTTTGGTTATATAATTGTTAAGAGACAATATGCCTTTGCAGACCACTTGACTGCAAAGGAGGCAGGCTGCAGTATTTAAAGGTGTATGTTCATTATGGAAAGATGAAAGGGATGATTTTAATAATACACATTTTTTAATACTACACTGGTTTTCTTAGTGTAACACCCTCTGTGCTCACTACCACCTTCCAACATCTGCAAAGCCAGGGAGAGCTCCATCCACTTTAGAGCTGTAGTGTAGTTAACACTGCATAGCACGTGTTTTTTTTTTCTCAGCAGCAGAACGGTAAAAAACATTTGTCAGCGGGAATAAAATACATAGTGGTTAAGAGTTGGGAGTTTCTGGGCAGAGGGAAGCATTATCACAGCTAGCAATTTCTTCTGCCTTAACTTCAAACCAGGCTCATTTATGATGCAGTCTATTTTCCAGCAAGGCAGCTCCCTTGGCTACAGGATTTGATAGCACCATAGATTACACACTGACTGCTGAACATAACACTCCTCAGAAATTCCCAGTAGGACTTGGTGAAAGACCCGTGCTTACCACTTCCCTCCTACTAGAGTAAGTAGTCTTCAAGTGATTTGTTTTTTTAAGAAACTAGGGCATGGAGGATGGTAAGCTTTCCAATATCAGCTTTGAACAGAGGGACACTTTGGGTTTGTTTTTCATTTCAGGGGCTTACCTAGCCACACCAGTAGCTACACTGCTCCTTTGGGAAACCTGTTGCCTAGTCTGCTGTTATGTTTTAAAAACCAGAAGCCTTCCCCAAGAAGAGCAGCAGTTATTAACATCTTCCAGCTGTACATGTGAAGAGTTAAAAGATCATTTAGGCTGGGTTAAACTCTGAAGATCACTCTGCCCCTATGACACCTCAGTTACAGCAAATTTTAAGTTTGTGTTAGAGACAGCAATGCAAGAAGGGCCAGTGAAGCATATTGCTTTTTAGATGCTCTTTCCACAGTAATCAAACACCTGTACCCTATATATGTAACTCTCCTTGCAGAATGTAGAACAGGTGACTCTCTTTTCAAGGAGGTCTGATACTCACTGATTAAATCTGGCACATTATAAAACTGCAGATGACTAGCAAAGCATCAACACTGTGTGATGAAAAGAATAAATGTATACAACTAGGTAATTATGCCCCAAAACTAACATGGAGAGTGTATCTAATAGAACTGGTAAATTATTACTGTACACAAACATGAGCGAATTTAAACCCTTATACTTGGAGTGGGGAGAAGATACTGAAGGATCCATGACAGTTCAACATGATAAATCACATAGGACCTGAGAGCTGAAGAGAGTTTTGTCTTTGTCAGAGTATTGATTTGAGTACAAGATTTCTGATCTGCAATGAATGCCTTGAGCAAAGGCTGCAGTTAAATGCACAGAAGTAGAATTAAAAAAACTTTTATAGTTAATTTTGGAAGTACTTTAGATGTGTTAAAAATATACAAGAGCAAAAGGTAGTTACCTGAACACAAATCAATTCAATGGCTAAGATTAACATTTATTTAGTAAACCAGTTACTTCTGATCACATTTTACAAGATTGCTGAGTTATATGACAAGCCCTTACCACCCACTCTGAATTAATCTCAGAACAGGAAAACAAGCTTTTGTAGTTCTCAACTGTCTTCTCAGATTTGGCTGAATTATTTGTCTAAATAAAACAAGAATTCCCTATGCATTTGCAAAAATGGTCAGCTTATCAGAAGTTGGTTTGTCCTTTCAATAAACTACTGAAATCAATCACTCTGCTAACTCTTGTTTTCTTAAAAAGACATTCATAAGTGTTTGGTATGCAAAAATATATCAAATGGTAATTTAATAAGTTCTAATAATTTACACCTGTATGTGTTTCAAATGTCCTTTTAAGGAAAATTAGTAAATGCAAAATGGAATGATTCAATTTCAACAAAATTTATTCGCGTGATACATTAAGATGCATGGGAGGATTTTCAGTTTCCATGTCGTGCATCCAAGCAAAAAAATCTTAGAGGGCACCTACAGCATTTTCTTACCCAACGTAGTGCAAGGTTTACTGATCTTTTTAATTTAAAGAAATCCATATATTTAAAAACATTACTAGCATGTTCTAAAAAACAATGCTACCACTAGGAACATTTTTTAAACTAATAATTGCCTACTGTTCATACATTTGGTCTTCATTTTCTACTTTTCACACAAGAAAAAGCATTGACACGTGGACTCCACCAGCAACAGGGAAATTTTGACTATATATTTTTTTTTCTTAAAGAGCCTTTCCACAGTTTGTTGGTTTGAATTCCAAGAGTAAAGATAGGTGGCCCATGCCCTCCAGACATTCATTAATAAATATTTTATGAGTTACAGTTATTTCATAGCTATATCATGAAAGTTTCCCACAAGGGGAGACTGACATATGAAGAAAAATACTACAAGAAGCTCACACTAACATTGAAAAAAGCTTTTCAATGGTGAGAGAAGAATGAAAATTAACTGATCTGTTATGTTTTTCTAATGATACAACTGATGAATGCTGGTCATCCCTTTGCAAAAAAACCACAAAACCAATCAATCGGGATGTATTATCTCATCTACAAGATGATACACCAATCACAGCAGTGTGAGATTTTTCAGCTGTGCAAACCCATTCCATTTAAGGAAAGTTGTTGAGGAGTTGCATTCAAATAACTCACTTCTGCACAGATAAAGCCTCTTTTACAGCTTTGGAACTGACACTTACGAGACAGTCTCTGGTATATCCTCTGGATTTTTGAAATGGCCCGCCCACAACAAAAACTTTTTCTCCCAGTCTGTAGGCTTGTATCCAGGCACCCTCAGAGGAGATCGACCTAAAAAACCCCAACAAAACACACAAATAAAAACAAAACAAACACCACCAAAACGAAGTCAGAGAAGCTGAAATCACCACAGCTGTAATAAAACCAGTTAGGGTGTGCAGTGCAGAATTTTAAGTGGTTAAAGACCAAAACGTGTATCACAGAGTAACAAATGTGTAAATGTGGATTAGACTGAGGCCATGTAAGGAAAGCCACATCTTTCCCAAAACCTCTGTACTTGCAGCTCTATATCTGCAGAAGCTACTCCAGCATCTAAGCTTCTTAAGATGCTGCAATATTATACTTTTCCTATTACATATAAATTAGTTTGAAAAAATAATTAAATGCAAGAGTTACGGAAAAGCCAATATGCTGCACCATCACATCACAGAATATTAACCTGTGCAGGCAGTGCAAGATTCTGTCTTAAGGTATATACAAAGAGATGACCATGAGACCCTTAATTTTCAGCTCAGTCTTTCAAACTCTGTATACAAAATATTCATAATGTAACAGGGGAAGGTTTTCATACATAACATACCATTAAAATCTAATGAACAAGGTGCAAAGATAAAAAGGGAAAAGCTGTCTATCTTTCAAACAGTGGGAAGTATCCTGTATAGATGTGTGCTCCCGCATGGATTATCTAGGAATCGGGGTGGATACAGTCTGCTGACACCACCAGGTTATTCAAAAACATAAAAGAGGACAGCTAAGCCCAAAAAGCCACAGGGCTTCAAAATCCTGAGTCAATAAGATGGACAGTGAAACAACAGGAAGCAATTCCAGCTCACTTATAAATTACAGACTCTAATCTAACTGTTATTAATTATTACCTAAGCCTGAGGAGTAAGTCCTCGGGGTTCATAGTGGTTTTGGCAAGGTGTTCAGTAACAGAAAGGAAAACAGCATACTAGCAATGGTTAGGAACACCGACAGCAGCATTACGATGTCATTGTGTAAAACTCTGACTCCAGCATTTTGAAAAGCATGTGAAATATTGATCCCTCATCTCACAGGGAGCTGAAATAGGCACAGAGAAGATGGGTAAGGATGACCACAGGTATGGAATGGCCACCACATATGAAACTGTCCCCTAGACTGAGACTCTTTGGCCTGGAAAAGCAGTAATTGAAGCTCTCTTCAGCCAAATAGAGCACTGGAAGTTGTTGGGAGTGCGGGTTATAATGAACAGGTCCTGTTTTGGAAGGGGTACTGGATAAAGGGGAATCAGATCATAAAAAAGCACACATTGGGTTAAAAAACAAATACCAGACTGTACTTGTTTTCTCACAGCATGATTCAGCTGAGGAATTCCTCCTCAGAGAATGTGGATGCTAAAAATACATCCAGCTTCAAGAAACTGCACAAATTTGTGAAAGAAAAACCCAGTGAGGACCACTAAAAACAAAGCTGCCACTTCTGGGACAACAGTGTAAAGGAGAAACACTGTGTTTGCCCTCTATCTATACTCTTCCTTAGATTCTTCTTGCAGGTCACCATTCCCATTAGTCTTCAAGAAAACATAAGGAACCTCCTTCACTGGCCACTGCTGGAGACATCACACTTCCAAGGAGACCTTTCGTCTCACCCAGTACAGCTGTGTTATTTTTAAGGCAAGCATGCCAAATGCTTTGCTTCTGTATTCTCCTTTTATCCTGCACCAGCGGCACATAAGGGAACCTCTTATACAGGAACTCTGATTAGAGCACCACAACTGTCCCATATATAGTGAAAAAATGTTTCATGGCCTGAGCTTTTCCTGACCAGCTCTACCTTTAAACACGAACCAAGGCAACAATTCAGGAGAACCTGCAGGGCACACTCACTTTTGTGAACAGCTGGAGCTGGCTGCACTCTGAAAAACTGCTAAAAGTATTTTAGCTCACACAATGTTCCTAAACATTAATAGTTTACACTGGGGCTGAACAGTCAGGTGCAAAGCACAGCTGCAAAGTCTCAGCATAGGAGTGTTCACCAGATAAGATACTACAAAGTGAAAGCTGTGTTGTCACGAGAAGCAATGTTGACCCTGGGCTTTGTTAGAAAACAAGACTTTATTAATAAATTTAATGCTCAATTGTTCAGCCTACAGATCAGGACTCACTCTGACAAAATCAGTGATATTTAGCATCTATGTTGACTAAATTCCTGGTTAGATGATTGCGGCATGGATACACAAGTATTTTGTGGCAGGAAACAGAATGATCTTATCAAAAACTCTTACCCTTTAGATGAAGTTGACTTTCTTCCTGGGGTTTAATGCAAAGCCTTCTGCTTATCTTCAGATCCACTCCTTCAGTCATCCTCAGAATTGAGGGAATATTTCTTCCCAGCAGTCTAACAGCCCTATCTGGAAGAGAAAGCAGAGGAAGCAAAGAGGCCAAATCCCACTCAGAATGGTGGAAAGTGAGAATAGTAGCTTTTCAGTGGAAGTGTTTGTTGGGGTTTTTTTAAACACAAGAGAAAAAAACCCAAAGAAAAACAATAAGTGCAGTATTAGATAAGAAGTACCAGATTTAGTTGTAACAGCCTAACAAAGAAAAGAAAGCTTGTCTGTAACCTATGCCTTGAGCTAGCCTATTGACTTTATTTAAAAAAAATGAGAATGCAGTTAATTTCATTTAGAAAAAAAAATAATTCAAGGTTACAGCCCACAATCAATTTCTAGGACACAACACAGCCTGGAGTTTCCAGGAACTCATGTATTCATACGCTTCAGATACACACTGGATAGTGCAATTCCAGGGCCTGCACACCAGCATTCTACCAATCCTGTCACATCCCAAAAGCAATGAGAGGGTCAAGCAAAGCCCAAAAAAGCAAAACTTGGCTGAATTGAGAGATACCGACTTTGTGATGCATTAGAAAAGGTCAGAGTACCTTATGTACAAAAACATACTTTGAAGGAGGAGCATCTAATTCATTGATAAATATAAGGAAAAAATCTTAAAAAAAAAAGCAACCCCAGAACCCAAACCAACTTTGAACGACAGAAAAGGGCACTTTTAAAAACACGACATGAGATTTTTTTTGCCTTCTTCATGCTGTCTGAAGACGTATCCCCTAAGAGAAACACCTGCCCTCTGTTTTCGAGCCGTCATACGCTCCCGCTCTGAAAAGTCACTAATTGACGTTTCCCACCCCCAACGACACCGAACCCTTTCGAAGGCCTCCGGAGGGGCAGAAGGAGGCACGGAGCGGCC